TTGTAGTGGTAGGTAGGATAATGAATTGTTAAGCCTAGGATTACTATAAATTGTTTAATTTATGTTAAAATGTAGTGATTCCTACAAAATGTTAGTGATCCAACAAGAAAAATCAGACCTGTGCCAGGGCCTAGTCATAGTTGATATTGTCAGTATATAAATTACAATGTGTATTACTGTATAGGTGCGGGCCTAGAAAAAAAAAAATAGGTACTATAGGAGCCATGTGAATCTCCTACATTATATGTGTGTGTGTTTACAAAAATGTAATTGTATTTCGGGATCGTACCCCATGACCTAAGTACTGGGACAGGCTAAAGATACATTTTATCAGTTCTCTAATTAAAGATCGTAACTGTAATCATGTGGGTATATTACATTGATATTATACATTTCTGGGATTGTAAAATGGACTGTGGGCTAGTGAACTTCACAGTGGCTAGCCCTGATGGCTAGTGACAAGAAAAAAATAAATCAAGACCTGGAGCTTATTATTTAGATACAGCTTAGATGATGTTAGCACTAAATATTAATTAACTCAGATTAATACTGAAGTCCAAAGGTGAATATTAAAACTTTTTGCATCAGAAACCTAGTAAATTCACATCAAAGTGATGCACCACACTTCAAAGACGTAGAATATGATGATGCTAAAAAAGATAGTGGAAAAGCTGAAGTTAGTGATGAAGTATGAAGAAAGTGATCAAGGTGATGATGGTCCCAGTACTGTATGTAAACCGTAGATAAGGCCAAATAAATTAATTGTTAGTTTCACGTCCCCGCCCGCACCACTTTTTGGAGCCACATGGATTTTTTTTACTATTTGCTATTTTTCTAAAAAAAATTATCGTTTTTCAGTGAAAAAATATCTCGAGGTTTTTCGGTGGAAATACAGCAGTCGTGACAACATTTCTATAAATTTACAAACAGCGGCTGGATTGATAAGACTACTCTGATCGTTGTCTAGCCACTCGCGCTGCACATGTTTCTGGGTTTTCATTGACTTGACAGGTTTATTTGTGACACGAGGATGGTAGACAACGGAGGAATAAGTTTCTTATTCTTCCAAAGGTACAACAAATACAGTATATCATCAAATTAACCATATGGTGGTTTAAGTGTGTGGGCCAATGATGGATACCTATACAAACATTGACAACAAGGCATCGACTTTTTATCATGAAAGATACGAGGTGAGTCAACCGTCTGGTGATCATCCGTCTGTACTACTGTGTAGGCCAGGCCTCAGGCCTAGCTTACCTAGATTGACACAGTACGGGTGAGCAAAGTATCGTATTCATAATTTAGTACAGTCATGGATTCGGCTAAGCAAAAACAAAAAACTATATATGGTGTGGTAGATCAGTGTAGATATATCCAGACGTTTGGACCCTGTCATATAACCAGAGTAGACCTAGAGGCCTAGGCCTTAGGCCTATTCTAATTTCTACATCTCTAGTTATACACACCAGCCTTTGATTCAAATAGTGTTTCATAAGGCTACCAAGTATAGTATCCAAGATGTACAGACCTGCTGTAAACAGGACTACGCTATCTGCAAGCTAGTTTGAGGATGATGATTGATGTGATATAGCACACTTGTACTTGGCCTACTAAGCTGCAACTACTATACTACTAACTACTATGTAGTGCTGTGTTGAAGGCTATAAAAATATACAGTGATAATCATATTCATACCAAGTCCAGCTGTATGTCTTCGTTTAATATTGTATATTATTTGAACATAAAAGATTAACAATTTGTTTTGTTTTTTTCCCCAGCTAGACGAAGGAAAGGAAGCACCACCACCTCCTATCAAGAAAGATGATGTATCAATGTCATGCCAATTTCTGCAGTTCAGCACCCTTGTCTCCATCAGTTTTTAATTCACTGCAATTTTTGTACTAAGTATTTTAATACGTATTATACTATTATAAATAAAAACTCAAGAGAAGTGTCTAGCGTTCTCAAAATAATTTTATTGAACATACAAACGTTTTTGGGTATCACCCTTCATCAGGTATAGGTACAGTATACATATTTTATTTTTTAAATATTGTCTATCTTTGTATAGAATATTCACTGCAACACTTATAGATATGTTGTCGATGCCTTCCATGTCAATTGAAGTAGTTCACAGTACTTCTCTTCTTGTACATCCTGGTACTGGTATTACTTTTTTTAAAAACACCATAAAATTCACTCTTAATATCACACCTTGATTAAAATTATTGTTTTAATCAATAACTGTATTTTATGAAACATTCTTAGTTTAAATCCTTTAAAAACAATAATTAAGATGCTTATGAAAATAAAAGTGTTACAATACAATGTAGATTGGTTGATTTTTGCTTCAGATATTGAATGCCGTGTTTTACATACCGCCATTTTTTTTCATCGAAAAAATAGCAAATAATATAAGGCCCCAATGAAAACAAAATTTCAAATTCTGGATGTGAAACTGATTAATAAAATTTATTTGTCCTAAATATGTGTGGGTGGATAGAATAACCTTTATGGATTGTTGTGGGTAGATCCATGCAACAGCTACTTAACACTTCCTATAGGCCTACAGTACAGTATACTGTAATTAAAGTGGCTAGAAGGATCATATGATACAATACTATAGTATAGGAACACAATTAACATGAACAACTTGTTTTGGATAGTTTGATGTTTTATTCTAATAAGTAATTAGACAGGTACATGTAAATCAATAGGAAATAAAACCAGTCAAATACAATATACCACAAATATTCAGCAAACATGGATAATAATTCAGCTAATTTACATCCTTATTTACACTGTGAATTACACTGTGATGCCCATCATCAACTTTAGTTGGATATGATATTCAAACAAAATGTCATGTGATTAAATAATAATAGTTGAAAATTTCTGCATAATTCTGTTACGACAATAAAAGTGGTCAAAATTTTAAAATGTTCTAATTGTAGCAGGTAATTTAGTCCATTCTAGAAATTTTGCTTATTACTTAAACCTAAATTATAAATTTCATCATTATCCATCTTCCATATTCCAACATGCTGTAGTGCAAGATAGAGACACTGAAGTTCTAAAGCTAGGGTCACGACAGCTCTATCAATCAACACCTCAGATTTAAGGTATGTAAAACCGTCAGAACAATATCCACAGCCCTATTTTAAATTATTTAGGCTTAATAAATAGAAAGTGGATATATTTACATCGCCGTAAACAAATCAGTAAACGATATATTAACGTAAATGAAACAACGCATGCGCAGTCATGCTTTAATAAACTTGCATTATCGGTCACGTAAATTTATCGATTCACGTTAAATGTATGTTAAGGCAGAGTTCAACTTTCAGGCTCCAAATTAGCATCGACCTTTTGCTAAATGCTGTACCATGAATCCACTGTGCAAGAAAATCAAATCTTCTTGATTACGTCATGTTAAAATACATTAACTTGACACAACAATTTTTCTTGTAAAAACAAATGGTTTCTACTCTTTAAAAAGCCATTGAAACAATACACGATCAAATCGACAGCAAATCAACGCACATGGGGAATCCCCAAATTGGTTGTATAAATTTTCGTAAACAGTTTAGGCTAGCGGATAGGTACAGTATTTAAATTATAATTTTACCGTTCTTACTAAACATAATTAAATTTACTACAGTAGTAGCCTATGTATTTCAATTAAATAAAATAATTGAATGATTGTGATAATGAGCTAGAAGTATTCGTTTCACTTTCTCACATCATGACCACAACGTCAAGCAAGGATGTTTATTCCACGTTCTGCATCCATACTTCGTAGACACATGCACAGCATGCCAATGTTGTTTTGTTAGTGATCAAACTACATGGGAAAATATGTTTGAATAAAACATTTAAAAAAAATATTTATTTTGTTTTACCAGGGAGATGTATTTTATGTATTTTTTACATCTCCCTGCATGGTCTCACTTTTTCGTAATGATTAAATATCTTACAGAAAACACACGCATATTTATTTGTTGTTTACTTCTTGCTTCATAGCGCAGTACTTTGTAGAGTGGGTCATGTGCTCTCCAATATGTTCTTCGCGATCGATCGGGGCTCTGCTCGACCCGACTAAAGACTATAACGATTTTGTTTTTGTTAGTGACGACGTGGGTAAATTTTTTTGAATGAAAACATTAAGATGTTATTTAATTTGTGATAATTAACTATCGTATAACAATACAGGTAGGCTTAGAAGAATATCGTCTTGATTTCATGGTAATTGAGTTTTAGCAAGGAAACCTCGCGTAGGCCTAGGTCTTGTATTTAGGTCAAGTGTGTTCATTCAACAAATGATTGAGTAAAATGAACATAATATTTCCAGCTCATAATATCACTTTTATTTGAAAAGTTAATACAATGATTTAATAATTTATTTAGTGATTAAACTACATACTGTGCTGTTGTAGAAAATTAAATTACGTTTAATAAAAAATAAAAAACAAAATTATAAATTAAGTAGTGCCGTGGTGAACTTGGGGGCCACGCAGAGCTGAAAATGCAAGTTTATTAAAAGTATAACTGCGCATGCGTTGTTTCATTTACGTAAATATATCATTTACTGATTTGTTTACGGGCGACGTAAATATATCCACTTCCTAATAAATATTCTGATGGATGTTAACAAAACAGCAAAATCAGATTCAATTAGCTAGGCCTAGCCTAGGCCCTAGGCCTAAATAATCAATAATCTCTTACCCCTACCTACAGTCATAGAATCTTCAGACAGATAACTAGGCCCTAAAGTGTTTAGGAAATCTGGCTAAATAGGCAAAATCAGTGTATCTTCGGCGTGCAAATGCCCGTCGTACATGCTGACATACATACCAACCGGTACGTCTCCTCTCAGCACTTTATTATTCATTCATTCATCTCTGCTGTCTGCAGCTGACTGAGGAGAGAGATTGCCACACACAAAACAACTTTCAGTTTCACCCAATAGGCTCCTAAATCAAAATGCAATAACTCACCAATGTTCATATTTTCACTGATTTTTAGCGGTGTCCTGAGCACGTAAATCAGGAAAAATACAAGAACAAACCAAATCACCCACAGATAGGTCCAAATGAAGCTGAAAATAGACTTTATTCTGTCAACATAACCAGACCATAGGCCTGCCATATTGCATTTTGTTTTGACCTGATCTCTGACTTCGTGCCAGAGACCCGCGATAATTACAAAAAATACGACTCTATAGTCTATTATAATTTACATAATAAAGTGCTTTAATAATGATTATAATGTTTAAATAATTGAATTATTTAATTTGTCATATTTATAAGACAAAATGCGAGCAATTACTTTTATTTCAGTGTTATTTTAAGAGGTTGTGTACTGTCAAAGGTCAAACATAGGCACCCTTCCAAACATGGCGGACGAGAAAGAAGTTGAGGAAAGTAGTAGTGTTCCGAGTTCAGATCCATTTGATCTAGTGGTGGAAGGATGTCGATTGCCTGTAAATATGTCAAATTCAGACGAATGGCCACTAGCAGAAATTCTTAGTAAAAAAGATACTGATAATGGCCTTACGTTTTACGTTCATTACATTGACTACAACAAGCGATTGGATGAATGGGTTACGCCTGAACGCCTGCGGCTGGAAGGGCTTCAGCTCCCGAAGAAGGATGCTAAGACACCGGTGAAAGACCGAGGCCTAGGCCTAACTGTAAACAGTTGTAATAGTTCAAGGGCTTCTAGTCCTGCCCCACCAGAGTTAGTGAATGGGAATTCAAATAGTAGTGCTACACCCCTTGCAACTGTTCCTCCACCACAACCAGCCATTGCAATTAAGCAAAAGACAAATGTTGGCAGGAAACGAAAACTTCCATTTTCTGACTTAAGCACAACAGGGGAGGTAAGCTTAATCAAGGACATTTATTCTAGTGTAATGTATAATTTACAAATGATGAATAAATAAATAAATACTTGGCCTTAAGCTTAAATATTATATATATAATTAAATATAATAATTTTCATTTTTAATGTTCATAGCTGCTGTTTGTGGTTCTTTACAAATATAGTATATATATATCTGTCTCTTATACACATCTAGATGTGTATAAGAGACAGGAATTACACTTTGTTGGATTTATGAATATGGGTTCAATACATACATGTGAATGATTGTTGCCAATTGTGATTTATTTTGCAAATATAATTATATAAGTTAATGAATTTTCTTCATCTCCTAATAGGAAAATCAAGATGGATCACAATCTCATGAAGTTCAACCTCGACAGACAGGAAGCATGGTGACCGAAAAAAGCGATGATGTGCTCACCAGAATCAAAAACATTAATTTGATCGAATTAGGAAAACACAGGATTAAACCTTGGTACTTTTCACCATATCCGGTTGAATTAACCAGTAAACAAGTCATATATCTCTGTGAGTTCTGTCTGAAATATGCCAAAAGTTTCACTTGCCTCTCTCGGCATAAAACGAAGTGCAACTTAAGGCATCCACCAGGTAATGAAATTTATCGTAAAAGTACCATCTCATTTTTCGAAATTGATGGACGAAAAAACAAAGCTTACTCACAGAACCTCTGCTTGTTGGCAAAGTTATTTCTGGATCATAAAACTTTGTACTACGACACGGATCCGTTTCTATTCTATGTCATGACGGAGTATGACAGTATGGGTTTTCATATTGTCGGCTACTTCTCAAAGGAGAAAGAATCATCTGAGGACTACAATGTGGCTTGTATTCTGACACTTCCACCATATCAGAGGAAAGGCTATGGCAAGTTGCTGATAGAATTAAGCTATGCATTGTCTCAGTTTGAAGGAAAGACTGGATCACCAGAAAAACCGCTCTCAGATCTTGGCTTGCTCTCATACCGGAGCTACTGGTCACAAACTATACTTGAGACAATTTTAAAACTCCAGAATCCGTCAGATGGAGAACGCCCTCAAATAACTATTCATGAAATTTGCGAAGCGACTAGCATACGAAAGGAAGATGTGATATCCACACTACAGCACTTAAATTTGATAAATTACTATAAGGGTCAGTATATTCTGACACTTTCAAAGGAAACATTAGATACTCAACAGAAAGCGATGTCGAAAAGAACAATCCGAATTGACCCCAAATGTTTGCATTGGACTCCAAAAGACTGGTCCAAAAGGGGCAAGTGGTAGATATTAAAAGCTTCCTAGAGACACTGAAATCAAAACCATTCCATGTTTTTACCTCGTTGGATATTTTCTGAACTGTAAAGCAGATTTTTTCCTGCTACAAAGTCCACTCTTGTTTTAACCCATGTGAAACTATTTTATTTTAAGTGTACAAGCTTATTTCACATGTTTGTAGCTTAACTGGGTGACATTCGTACACCTGTAGACAGCAATCTGACCTCCTTTGTACAAATATAAAATATGAACTTTCACATTTTTTGGTTTTTCGTATTTCCTAGTATTGATATTGTGTGGATCAAAAATACTATTGCACAGTTTGTGCACTCAAAATTGTTTATTTTGACTCCTTTAAATTTATATGCGTGCTATGGTCATTTGTATGTAGCGAATAGTATTTTATTAACCAAGCTAAATTTACCCTTTATTTTAGTCAAAGTTAATACAATGTGATTATGGCTTTATACTACTTATTGTATTGCTTATTTTGTGACTATTGAAAAGATAGAAGGCAGGTATAGTGGGGTTGATCCATTTTCATGTGGGTAGTTGAGAAACCATGGAGATTACACAATACAGCTCCACAATATTGAGGCATGGACATTTTTGTTAAACAGACATGCTAAAAAAACATGCTCTGCAACCAATTTACAAATATAAGTCCTTGATAATAGATTTTGTATGGATTTTAGTTTAATCTTTATCAATAACAACATGACAATTCACTATGGTGTCATGATGATGATGACTGCTTATTTTTATTGTTTGTTTATACAATTTCATATTCAGCAATGGAACACCAAATGTTTGTACTGCTGTGACAGTGTACACAATAAAAAGTGTCATATTTTTAACCTACTGTCTGACTGGCTATTATATTTATGTGCATTTTGGGTACTATTTAATGTGGTTTTAGATGTTATGTCTGTCTCAGTGAAAAATGATAGACTGCTTATTGAATGAATTAAGAATTAAGACATACCGTAAAACTTTGTATAGAACACCAATTTGGCTTAATCTCAAGAAGAAGCCTATCTCGAATTGAAGCCCCCCCTCCTACCCTTTACAGTAGTTTGCAAAAGTAGCCTCGAAAGAATCCCATCTCGAAATGCATGGGCGGGCTTTTTTTTAGATGCAAGTAGTACTATACATACACTGTACATGAATTTTAAAAAAACAAATATTAAAATATGCTTGGTTTATACAGTAGTTTAGTTGATTTAATGCTGGTAAATGCATCCATAATACAGGTTGATATTACAGTGGCCTTATTTATTGTTTTGTAGTAGTAATTCTCAAAATTTACAACATTCACTTTGAAAAGAAGCCCCTTAGTAGCCTTGAAAAGAAGCCGGCCCATCCAGGGTTTGCAAAAATAAGCCCAGGGGCTTCAATTGAAGGTTTTATGGTATTGCAATAATGAACCATTCTGCGTATAAGCCATGCCCCTTGCTGTAGATATCTTAAGGTACAGTACCACAAAAATATAGCTTAAATGTATGTAAACTTTAGGACAACATGTGTAATGGGATATACGCGTATTCCTGGCCCCGTTCTGAGTGGTCAGTTGAAAAGTTGACACTCAAAAAAGGTCCATTCAGTTTGGGCTGATTTGCAATTTAAAATGAGATGATGATACCGAAAAGTCCTCTGATTAATCTCAGATAAGAAAGTATAATACATACACCAAGTATTGAAATGCACGCCATCGTGTTGGGATGCAATATTTCGATATTATGTCATCATCAGGAATGAAAAAATTACTTAATTTTTCATTCCTGATGATGACATGATGTCGAAATATTGAATCCAACATGATGGCATAAGTATGCCATCATGTATAAGTATGGAGTATGTATTATGTGATAACATAGTTACTAGCTGCTATAAGAATAGAAATGGTATTGAAGCTCGTAATTACGGCTGTTTACCTAACCCCCCTCTGATCAAACAAACAACTCTCTCCTGATTAAAATCAACATTTACTTGTTGACGAAGAATGCCCTCAACGCCCTAGTTCTCGTATTTTAAATAGATTTAAGTACTGTACATAAATAGAGTGATAACACACTAAGATACAACAGATATTATAATGCATGATAGAGATAACCCCTAGTTCTCGTATTTTAAATAGATAAGTACTGTACATAAATAGAGTGATAACACACCAAGATACAACAGATATTATAATGCATGATAGAGATAACCCCTAGTTCTCGTATTTTAAATAGATAGCACTGTACATAAATAGAGTGATAATACACTAAGATACAACAGATATTATAATGCATGATATTCTTATATTCAGTATACCATCGAATAGAAAACAGACGCGGTTTGATATTTCGTAGAATTCAATTAGCAGTTGTTATTATTTTGACAGATTAGTTTAGACAGGAACACTGGGGTCAATAAAGATGGTCTACTTTACTCACAGATTAGCATGTTTTTCTGGTGGACGATCAAGTGGACAAGAATCGGATCAAGGCTGTTGTCTATTTTGTAGTGTCAGTTGTGGTGTTGTTTATTTGAAGATTGGCAGTGTTCCATCAAGGGCGTCTGCTATCTATTTGTTGAATAATAAATGCAATTTATACTGCGGTTATGGTCATATTTCAATAAGAGGTTCATCGCTAACATACCCGACGGCCTTGGATATATTAAATTATTCTAATCATTCTAGACCTTGAAATATGTTATAATATGAAAAGGTGAAAATTAAAACATCAAATTTGGCTTCAAAAAGTGCAATCGCAGTGCTACCACAAACTTCCTGAGCTTAGTGAGTCTACTTTGTGTTTGAAATAGAAAGTGCATAGTAACAATTTGAAAATCCCAGTTTGAAAAGACCTTTTCGAAGTGTCAATCAAACTTAACAACTGACCAATCAGAACGTGTGTGTCTAAAAAGCGCACGGGTTGTCCCACAAACGCACGTGTTTGCGTATGTTTTAACACTGTCGTTTGAGAGACCTTAGCAACAATATCCAAGGGGCAGGGCTTAGTGGAAAGGTCCACTAATAAATGCCTGTCCAGTTTTTAACCGCGAATGGGTATCGTACTCGCGCGAATAAGCGCCCAGGCGCTTAAAATATTTGTTGCACTTTCTGAGGGGCGCTTATTCAAACGGGGCGCTTATGAAAACAGAGTGGAAATTGAGGGGTTCTTGCGGGAAATTATTAAATTCAAGAGGCACTTTTTGAATGAAAAAAGATTATATAAGGACATTACGAATGGTGGTTAGGTGGAAAAGATAAACGTCTAGAGAACATGGCTAATGACAAGAATGCGTGAATATTTACATAACAGCAGAATAGCAGATGCAATTAGTAGTGGTGGATAGTGGTTAGCTTGTTGGCCATCGGCCAATTGAAATTAGCAAGATCATTGTATTTTTTCTTTAAAACTCAGATGAGAATGTGCTAAAGATCGGGAAAAAAAAGGAGTAGGACTAGGCATAGACAAATATGTAAAAAGAGTAAAGTTGGAAATATACTGTCTGTCCAGGGATCGGAGCTCTCATCTGTCCAAGAGAAATATCCTTCATTTTGATATTGACCGAAGAAGAATGTGTTTCCACTCTGCAGCTCAAATTATGCCAGCAACCACAGTCCCATGATTGATTGGATTATTGACTTGCTAAAAAGAAATATTATGATATTATTGAGGGCGCTTATTCAAACAGGGCGATTAAGGAAATTTTTACGTTAGGCCGGAGGGGCGATTATTCGAGAGGGCCGCTTATTCAAACGGGGCGCTTATTCGCGCGAGTACGGCATTGATATGGCTATAATGATAATTTGTCGCAAAACGATTTGCGGATTATTTATATAATTATCGGAAAAACAATAGATACAGTCGTATGCATGCGCCGTAAAATTCACATTGATTAATATAGCAATTTACTGAGGAAAACACATGAAGAGTAGGCCTATAAACTATTTTAATCACAACTTCATTCTGTAACAGTTTACGTAGATGGCAGTCAGTAGTGATGATAACAAATTTCAGGAGAGTAGGTTTCATGTAGGCCTTTCGATGAGTTCAGAAAAACTTTCTCAAGAAAAGAATGTCTTTTTGGGCAGATAGGGCCGAATACCAGGATAAAAATCACAATCTTCAAACAATTCCATGTATACAAATGCATTTACCAGTGAACTTAAACGTTCTGGTGTTTGCAATTCACAAACTTATACCATCTGTCAACTAAAATCGTTGATATGATGAACATGTTTACATAATTGATTTATATTACGATGGACCAAAATCATTTCGAGGAAGTCTTTACGATGATATTAAATGAAAAACTTTGATAGGACTACAAAACAAATGGTTTTGCACGATTTTGAACCAGAAAGACTGACCTCACATACAGAGTAAGAAGTCAGGCAGATAGACAAATCAAGCAAACGCAGTGACTTCCTCATGCGTTGCCGTCAATTTTAATAAAATATACTCCGTAAAATCGCCATGTGACGCGTGTCCTACGCTGTGCACTCTCGTACTTACTAAGGAACATTTTCCTCATGTAAACCAACATGTCTCAGAGTGACGATGTTCAGATTGAAAGGATTAATAATATGTCATATATGTCTCTGATAAATTGTAAGCCTAGCTTGTACAGCTATAGCTCGGTGAAACTTGCCTAATAATACCACGATTCCTGGTTCAACCCCTACACAAATTAGTTTGTTTCTGAAGACTAAACACCACCTGACAATCCATAAGTATCGCAAGGAAAGTTTTGATAGCATTCTCAACAAATTTGATCTGGTTCCATAAAAACAGAATATTTTTTCTACTTTACAAAAAAGAATGCCAATCACACATACAGTTTACTTATACCACACTGTTTTTATACTTATAAATACGTGTTTATTTTTTAACCTAATGTAACTATGTATCCAGGGGTAGTGACGTCACTTCATTAATATAATAATGACACTCATAACCAATCCGAACCCCGCACCGAAAATCTGCATACCCCTACCCAAATCTATAACCATGGAGGTATAAAAATAGAGCTAGGAATCACGGGGTAGAGACGTCCTCTTTCTAAACTGAGGTCCTATTGAAATATTCACCTATTTGATGATTTGGGGATATCCTCAAATTTTATAAGGTTGAGGGTGAAAGAAGACCCAAGCGAAATCGAGTGAGGTAGAGTTGAATCATGGAGAAAGACTTCCTCCATGGTTAAATGAAGGGAACGTAAGGGATGTAAAGATAAATCATGGTTGTGGCACAGGGTCATCTTACGAATTCTTCGTAGATAATCTAATTTCAAAGTTAGTAAGAGATTAACAAATCAGGAATGGGCTGAAAATAAACCCGAAAACCCTATACTCTCTGGAGCTATCAATATCAATATATTTTTTATGCGACTTCTATTTTGATACGACTTCTTAAAAAATGTTAATGCAATGTTGCAATTTTTTATTTTACGATGGTTGGAGAACCCTTGACAGTATTTTAGTTTTGGTTATCCATAATTTTATGTATTTTTCTCCTAAAATTTTGTAATAGGGCCTAAATAAATAAATTAAATAAATAGACATTGTACGTGCAAGAGTTTAACATTGTATGGGGGAGGGGGAGGGATGGGATATATGAAGTGGATGGTCATGAGATTGTACATTATCACGGGGGGCTTTAAGTAAGACGTGTATTGTCTCTTGATGACTAAGGTATGATGGTGGTGATGATGATGATAACGATGATGGTGGTGGTGGTGATGATGATGGTGATCATTACGATGAGGATGATGAATGAGAATAATGATGGTGGTGGTATTGATAGATGAGAATCAAGAGATGACGGGATGGTGATCGTATTAGTGATGATAATGATGATGGTAATGATGATGATAATTACGATGGTGATGAATGAGAAAAATGATGGTTGTGGTATTATAGATGAGAATCATGAGATGACGGGATGATGATCGTATTAGTGATGAGGATGATGGTAATGATGATGATAATTACGATGGTGATGAATGAGGAAAATGATGGTGGTAGTATTGATAGATGAGAATCATGAGATGACGGGATGGTGATAGTATTAGTGATGTTGATGATGGTGATAATGATGATGATGATTACGATGGTGATGAATGAGAAAAATGATGGTTGTGGTATTGATAGATGAGAATCATGAGATGACGGGATGGTGATCGTATTAGTGATGATAATGATGATGGTAATGATCTGTCTCTTATACACATCTAGATGTGTATAAGAGACAGACACTGTCGTTTGAGAGACCTTAGCAACAATATCCAAGGGGCAGGGCTTAGTGGAAAGGTCCACTAATAAATGCCTGTCCAGTTTTTAACCGCGAATGGGTATCGTACTCGCGCGAATAAGCGCCCAGGCGCTTAAAATATTTGTTGCACTTTCTGAGGGGCGCTTATCACAATACAGGGCTGATTCTTGCCATAAGTGTTACATATATTAATAGCAACTAAATTTAAATATATAATATTCAGATTTACTAAGCACAGTTGATTGGTGTTGTCAATAATTTACTTTTGATAGTTGCTTTTTATTTTTTAATCTTTACTTTTATCGTACAGTATTTAGTTCTAGCATTAACCTTTCAAGTTTGATTTGATTTACGCAATAAGGCTTACTATTATTAAAATAACTATAGATTTTTCTATTTGTTTATTTGTCAAAGAACACGTCTTCGTTGAATAAGGGCCCGTTCGAGCGAAAAAATATCCGTGCGATTTTCCAGTTAATTCACCGGTACACACTTTCTAAAACCGCTCGGACACGTGCCTAATTACCTTACCATCTGGATTATCTGCGAAAATTTTGACCACCAAATTGCTGGGTAGAATTCCGTGTATGGGATGGCCTTGGAGCCGGAGACGATGATAAATCAACCTTAATTGCTTTGCCAAATGGTTCGTCCACAGCAAGTACCCGCTGTCGTCGCGCTCTTCTTCGCCTCCTCATGTTCACGGCGAAATCAAAGTTGGATTGGACAGTAAATCCATCATAACATCGCATCATTGTAGCCATAATGGTAGCTAGTAGCATAGCTACACGTTCAATTTGTAAAATTACCATTACAGTACAGTATTCAGAGAATTAAACTTCAATACAAATCGTTCCCGTGTATCGTTTAAACAAGCAGAAGTAAACAAAGAATAGGTTGATGGGATTGGTGTTTCTGAATGACCTTACAAAATTACTTCCGGAATAGTTTCGTTACACGGTATTCGACATGAGCTAAAATTTGCTCGAATGGTGGACCACCCGCTGTGTGCTCGGCGCGATTAACTGGTGAATTCACCGGAATACGGTTTGCGTTTTTCGCTCGAACGGGCCCTAAGAATCCATCGCAAAACAATTTCTTCACTCTGTAGAAAAAAACATTGATGGTGAACTAAAAAAACTTTTAGCAAACTACCCAATAACACATGACCGTTTTTCTTTTCATATTTTCGTTTATTCATAATTATGTATTTATGCTACCTTTTCTCTCATAGAATTGGAGCATTTTGTAAAAAAAAAATCCGATTTTAAACCACTAATTTGTGGGCATCTGTACAAAATTGTTTCAAGTTGCTTCATGAAAATGGTTTCTTGAAATGTAATATTTATATAACTGTGTGAGTTTTAGCACTCTACTCAACGATTCCATCAAGGAAAATCTGGTTACCCATATTTCAATATATGTACAAATATTTACAATTTTTCTCAAAATACAATTTAGTATAAGGTAACAACCTGTTGTGCTACACTTCTGTTTTTAAATCCTTTTTCTGAAATACACTGTATTCAACTCATTGTTCAGGCATCCTGGTTTCAGTCTTTTCTGGTTACAAATAAGAAACTGGGAAAATCTAGCCCTTTGCTAATATGTATCCATCTTTGAATATATAATCTATAATAATATAATTTATTAAAATTTCAGTTAATAATAAAATCCATCATTTGTAAACATTTTTCTACATTGCCAAATTTAAATATAGTATCTAAATGTTTAGCAGAAAGAATCACAGCAAATTTTTTTAAGCTATACACTTATTTTTCAACTTATATAATAAAATTAGCAATCACTGTTTTAAAACATTTTTAGGCCGGACACTCACTGCATGCACCGTATGATGAATCCAACCCTGCTTCCTGCTAGTGCAAGACGATGCAAAGCCATCTGCTGATTGTCGAAGGCCTTTTGAACGGATCGTCACTAAAATGATGCGTTGCCGGTGCGTTGTGGCGCTGCATTCTCCATAGTTGGGTGCAGTGAGTGTCCCGCAAGAAACACATCAATTCACATTTCATGTTTAAAGAAAGAATGTTGACATTTAAATACAGGTCAGGGTTCAAATCTATACATTTCATTCAACTTTGACATCAGTACAAAATTAAGAATTCTGGCAGAAACTATATCATTTCATGAGGAGTATATATATTGAATGTTTTTATGTAGTTTATATTATTTTTAGCAATAAATTGTGCTCAAAATCCCCATTAAAATCTTTTAAACAAATTCAACAGGGATTTTGCTCAAAATATTTGTTGCATAATATGAATAAGTAAGAACATTTGATTTAGCACAAACACAACAACTAATAGTACCCTACCTCAATCCACCCTCAATCACCAGTTGCATATTCTTCAATAAAGAATAATATTACAATCAAATAGTTGTAAAATTGAGCCAATAAAAATACCTTAAAATAGGTGGAATGTCTAAAAAAACTGATTTCAGAACCCCCAGTCTACTGGCTTGGCCTCTACTCATATGTACACATAAGGCACTCCCCCTCCCCCACCCCTTTAAAGGGACACAAATGCTAAATAAATTGGGAAAAATCATGAAAAAAAAACTTACTCTGGCAAGCTATAGTTTTAACCATTTTTAATACAAATACTTCAAGTTATAGACATGTTTAGACTAGCTAATCCTACTGGTAAAATTCCATATATTTGAAGCTATATTCTATTTCATTATTTTGAAAAGCAAAACATATAAACACATCAACAAGCAAGTCATTGTAAGAACACAAAGAACATTACTGTTCACAGCACTTCCTTCTACTGTTAATATACTTTCAGTTCATATTTGTGCTTGACATAATCCTAAACATACATATTTTGAAAATATATAATTTCAATATCATCTCAAAAACTCTCAGCAACTTTAGAATTTTATACAAAATAAAAGTAAACTCTTGCTATTGAAAACTGAGAACAACTTTGAAGCGCTATCCACTCTACCAAGTTTAATGTGAAAGGCTTATGTGAATTGTCTGTATATGGGCATGCTGATGTCTTATTACATCCATATTTATGCATGATAATTACCATACTCATAATGGGTGTGATGATGTCATATTACATCAATATTTAGGCAAAATGATTCCATATCATACCCAGATGGGAAAATCACATGTATTTATCACATACAATGTTATAGTATAGATAGAGCTTCACAGAAATAAAGATTTAACTTGTGCTCAAAGCATAGCGCATGAAAAACGTGCAGTTTTTATGCAGACTGTTGAAAACACTAGAATCTGCATAATATCCAAAGCTGATTACCAATTACTCAATCAAAACCTGTGTTTTTCAAGAAATATTTAACAACAATAATCATAATCAACCAGAAATGATATATTTACTGGTCTGTAAATAAAAATAAAAATTTAACGACAGGTAGAGGTCAACAGTTAGAGGTCAACAGTTAGAGGTCATCCATACTTGTTAAACTACTCTTTCGACTACTTGATGCAGATAACAATGGATCTGCCAATATTGGTGAAGGTTCGTCCATGTTCTCAACAACCATTGAGGATGGGTTCATGTCAAACGACATGAATGACGGCATCTCGGGTAGCGGTAAGTTATTGCTTAATGATAACATATCAAGTTCTGTGACTGGCTCGGTCTTAATTTTCAAGTCCATCATTGGATCTTCTTGAAGCTTCAGGAAATCTGTTGCAATGTTCTCTGTTTTTGTTTCCTCGCTAAAGGCTTTTGTTGGGATACTCTGTTGTTGACAGCGCATTTCAAGCTCCTGGTTTAAAAACAAAAGAATTTTATAAATAAAAAATGATTTTAATAATTTTAATATATAAATTGACATAAATACACCTTTATTTTAAACACCATAAGAGAGGAAGAGGTAGACAAGAAAAGTGGAAAAGCAGAAATGCTTTGTTTCTTTTTCAAATTAAAAATGTTCATTATATATTTTTCAGTAAGTAAATTTATAAATATTAATATTTTGTAAATTTTATTCTTTCAATTATACAATGTAGCTTTTGTAATATATTGTATATGTTATATTGTATAGCTTTGTATCCATATTTAGTATCTTAATGCTCTAATTATTAATTTCTTCTTAATATACTTATAATTGGTTTTGTGTATATCAGTAAGGTATTTTAAAATGTTGTGCATCTTGTTCTGTTTGGTAATCCCTGTTTATATTTTATATGTATTGTTATTCTTACACCCAAAAAAAATAAAAAATAAATAAATAAATCTAAATAAATAAATATCTGTTTGATGATATTTATTTATATATATGTATTGTTATTTTTATACCTAAATAAATAGATAAATTAAAATAAATAAATAAATAAATAAATGTACCTGTATTCTAAGCATCATCCGCCTATTCATGGCTTGAAGCTGTCTTTGTTTCTCAGCTGCTTCTTTGTATTTTGCTTGTTCCCGTTGTAATCTTTTGATGTAATCTACCGACGACCTCAGAATGGTGCCTTTGTTTTGACGTTGATCTCTGTGAGAATATTAAAAATCACACATTTATTAATTCTATCACGCATTCATCAAATAAGAGATGATCAACTGAATGTGTGACAAGACATTTTTCTAAAAACTTTATCTTTGTTATAGTTGTTAGCGTTCAATTAAAAATATGAGTGACAAAATATTTTCATCGCCAAGTAAAAAATGCATAAATGCATATTTTCTGCATACATTTGAATAGGGGTTGGTATTTAAAGTTAAGAACTGTTCACACTCTCTTTTAAGTGACAAACACCGGTGACTGTCCCATATTAGGGTGCAATATGATGTTATAATGAACCTATGGGTATGATGTAACAAAAGTCTATATATAGACAATCAGATTTTTGTCACATAAAACTTCATAGTTCAGACAGAGCATTGAGTCTGTCCAGACTATCAAATTTTATTTGACAAACAACTGTTGTATATCCACATATAGTCATGATGTGCCTATATATGGTCATGATGTGATGTCATCATGACCATATTTAGGAATGTTACATGTTTTTGTCAAATAATATTTGATAGTCTGGACAGGCCTTAGGATTTTTGACTCAGATTCCGATAACTTGATTGACATATCAAAATCCTACCATAAACATTGAGATGTTTTCCTTGTTGAACTTATCAATAGATGAATATGAATGCTCTCACTTTGTAAATTTACAGCCTAAACTTTGACCTTGTATAAAATGAACAAGTCAATGTTTTGAATGCAATTTTGAGGGGTTTTCCCGGATTTTAAAAACCAGATAGTACTTTTAGTGCGACAATTATTTACATAAAAGAGTTACTCACGGGTCAGCATGTTTTGGTATCAAAGTTCCTAACTCTTTAATTCGATCATTGATGTTGAAGCGTCGTCGTCTTTCGACTGCAAAGGAAAAACAAACATAATAATCATTAAGTCATTTGTCAAGTACATATTCATAGTAAAAGTAATACTTCTAAAAATATGGTAATTAATCAGAAAGATAAAAATCCCACTACTTAAATTCTTAAAAAATAATGTGAACATTTATTCTGATTGTGTACTTTTCATCAATTTAAAAGTTTGTATTTCTATCAATCATATCAATATACAACTGTATTTCAAATTTAACAACAAATTTAAATTAAATTTAAATTTAACAATACAATGCAAACAAGTTACAGTATTTCAAACATACCATCACTGATTATTAAATTAGACTAAGAAAAAATAAATGATTCATTAATTGAGGATGAGAGAGTTCACCAATGCAGATTAATGTGTGCTTCAAATTGCATTGTTTGAATTCATGTTGACTGAAATTAAGTTTCTTCCCTTTTTCTTAGGGAGGGGTACTTTGGTTAATGGATCTAGTCTTTGTATGAGGTGTATACTCTTGTTTATGTGTTGGGGACTTATTAGTCATGAAGGATAGCAAGTAAAGAAGACAACCTGGTTCAATCAACATACAAATTTGCTAATTACAAGCAACATGCTAAATAAGCAGGATAACTTGATTAAAATCAATCTTGTCCAAGTGGATACGGTTTAAACATGCTTAATGAAAAACGGAAGAGGCAACGAGTTTTACAAGGGGAAGAGATGACGAGTAATAACACCTTCATTCATTAGGTCGATGGGTTTTGAAGGCTCTAATTGAAGCCGGCTTAACCTGCAAATGTTATCAAGTCCCGGAGGACACGGCGCCCCAGTTGCTTAAATATCCGCATGCCACCACATCGTGCGGTCTCGCATCGCTGGTAAATTTCGACACTTATGCGACACTTGCTTGTCAGAAGTGATACTCCTTTAAAATGTATCAACAGGTTGTTACGACACCCTTCCGACAGGATCAGCGTGGTAACGATCAATGTTAAGAACTCATAAACAGGTACTCAAACATCACCCAGAATCCTAAGTCGGGGTAATAACCTCCTTTTGGTCACTAGGGTATTCATCACATGGCGTGGACAGCAATGTTTGTCCTCATTATTTCGTGTTCTGACATAAAGCTAATAAAAAATTTTTAATTGGATTTGTGTAGGAGAAAAATTGACCCACATACAGAAAATAGGATAGTGATTCAAAAAAGCTTGAGAAGTAACAAAAAGGAAGCAGTATAATCATAATAAAAATATTAGTCCCTCCCAAAAAAAGTTTACCTACAACCATATTTCTTGATCAGAATGGAGTGGTTGCAAGGAAAATGTTTGGCATATTTGAAAGCCAATTGTATTTTTGAGTTATACATTTGTATTTGTCATCAAATCTTTAATATCTTTCCACTGCATTATTTTTTGTTTTTCTGTATATGCTTGGGTATGTTTTTCCTATTTAAGTTTTTTGTACATTTGCTCCAAGTGCCATTTGATGAATGTTTTTCATTTTCAGTCCCTTAATATAAGCAATGCCTTCATTCTTTTAATCCAATCCATTTCATTATGTCACCATTATTTTTTGTAAGGAATACATTTTTATTTGAATGTATATATGAATGAATGACCTCCCCTTCACAAAAATAAAAATAAACAAAAGAACCTACTCATGTTATGGTTGTCTTTCTTTTGTCGTTCCTTCATGTATGCCACTCTTGTATGTTCATCGGTAAATACTAGCTGCTCTGGATTCAGTTTATCCAAGTCAGCAGGACATGAAGACGATGTCTTTGGAATAGCTGCAGGAGCAACCGACACAGAATTTGGCCCAAGTTGATCGAGGTACGTGTTTGAAACAGGCATCTAGCAATGGAAAGAAACACTTATATTAGCTGTACTGCAATGGCTTGGGTACTGAAGATTATCATTTGTACAAAGAGCACATGGCACATAGATTGATTGATTTTCAGTGCTTTATCAGATTTTGAAATTTGAATGAAATGTAAAAATAATATTCTGTCACTGTACCACATTAGGTATAAAAAGTTTATCATACTTTACGTACAAGGACGGCTGGTGTAGTCCCTAGGGAGGGGAGGATGTTGTGCTGGTTTTTTTAAACTATGGAGCCACTGACCAAGGGTAGTGTAAAAAAAAAAAAACCACCAGCAAATTGTATATCTAGGCAAGGCACGGTGTAAAACCCTATATAATTATCATTATAAAATGGATAGATTTCAAGTGTATCAAATAAAATAATTAAATTACTATTTATAATGCAAACTGGAAAAAAATTGCTAATCTTCTTCCTGCTACTGACAGTATTATAATGTTCATTAAATAAAAATAACATCTATTTGAATAAGATCAGCCTTGGTTAAGGTTAGGGGGAAGTAGCCAAGGAGAACACTACTCTCTTATTTAGAAGAAAATTATATGTCAACGTCAACTGAAACATTCCAGCCTAAATTAGTTTAACACTTGTAAACATAAATTAACTCTCTCTCTCACCCACGGCTAATTCATTTTCACTGTATATTTTCAAATGAAATAATAGGACTTATTAAGAATTACTAAAAATATTTTGTAGATTGTATAATGTCATTAGCCAGGAAGCCACATCACCAGACATAAATTATTAGTGAATTTTCAATTAATCTTTGATTTATTAATGAATTGGACACATCTGCTGCATTCATAATTATGACAAAAATTATATCAATGTCAATAATTCTCCCAGATGGTTATCTGTTGCATGCTAATTGCGGTATCCACTGCTATTTTGGGGATCAAAGTTATTCATAGCCACCAATGCAAACTTGGTGGTTTGGTAGTGTGATGCCAGGGTAGTATCTCTGGATATTGGGGTTCAATTCCCACTTGGATTATTTGCAATTTAATGATAAAACCAAATAATGGAGTAAAGCTATAATTTAATGTTAAGATGCTTGCCTCCCAATCCTAAGGTCATACAGTAGGCCAAATTTTCTTTTTTACCTGTATTTTAGCATTTGTTATGTATTTTAAGAATTGTAATTTTCTCATTTTTGAGAATGAATAAAGATGACTTTCCAACAAAAATCCTCACTTTTCACTGATAAATTATTAATGTGGATCACTGGTGTTATATAACACCGTTTTTCATTGTTTCCCTTTCTGCTTTTTTAACAATGACTTTTTTAGTTTGTTCCTTCTCTACAGTTTAACAAAACTCGGGAAATAATGTGAAGCATTATCTGATATGATTTGTAGATAAGGTACTGATACGAAGGATCAGATTAGCCAATCACTAACTCTTCCAGATGTTTATCTACTGATCTCTTAATCACATTTTGACTCCTAATCCAGTTCATAACTTTAAAATGGTTTAACATCCTGGTTTGGATATTATAGATTATGTTTAAACTGAATTAACCGAAATGAACCCTCAGTTAATTGTGCTACAAGATTTAACAGAATTCAATGAAGTTGATGGCAAGCCATTAAGTTGGACAAAAAAATTGAAGATATTTAGAATTTTACTATTTGTGAATTTTAATTATTATATGAAATGTATTTAAATTTAAATATAAGTAATATAAAATTTTACTACCATGAATGAAAGAATTAATTAAATATAGGTTTATTAAAGTAAATATGCGATACACACATTACAATGGCAATATTTATTGGGATGTTTTGCCTATTTGGAACATGAAAGTCATCTTTATAGAAGAGCCCTTTTTACCAAGGCAAAACTTACTAGGCCTATTTCTACCTAATTTATTTGGCACTGGGAAAAAGTTTTATTAGGACCATTTTTACCAGGGCCATAAACCAGGCCAAGTTTTATAAGGTCTATTTAACCAGGGCAAGTTTTATCAGGAACATTTTTACCAGGGCAATATTTACGGACAAGTTTCACCAGGACTATTTTGACCAGGGAAGTTTTATCAGGACCATTTTTATCAGGGCAATATTTACCAGAACAAGTTTTATCTGGACCACTTTTAACCAGAGTAATATTTACCAGGGCAAGCTTCATCACATTGTTTTTTGGATATAGTTTTATCAGTAACCTATTTCTCATGTATATTCTAAATGAGATCTAGGTAATAAGTATTATCAAATAGCTTTAATAGTTAAAAGCTACAGTAAATTAAGCAAACATTTGCCAGCATATGTTATGGTCATTGAGGCCTCCAACGACAATAGACCCTGGCACTTCCCGATACGGTATATCATAAAGTATAAATATATTTCCAGGCTGGCTTATAAAGTGCTTAAATATCATCTCATTGCTTTATATGCAGCTACTTATGGTTTTTAACCAACACATAATTTTGATCTATAATTTTTATTTCATTTTAAATTTATTTTGGCTGCCATGTAAAGGAACTAATTTCAATTTACTACTAATGTAATTTTTTCTCTACATGTTTTATAAACAGACTAATGCCAGTTGCAAATTAATAGAGTTGCCTCTAGGAAAATTACTAGTTGATAAGTTTAAGATATAGCTTTAAAATGATTATATAATAATGATTGTATAATATAAATCCTGAAAGATTTAAGAAAGTAACCTTAATCAAGAACATTAATAACTTTATGGATGTTAATATAGACACCCGAGAATCGGGTGTATAAAAAGAAAAAAGTATTACAAACAATTAAGACTTACTGTGTTAGGAAACAGTGGGTCTGTGTCTAGGAACCCAAAATCTATGCTGTTCGACTGAAGAGAAAAGAGTTCGTCAATGTCTACCTATGGGAAGGAAGAAAGCACAAGGTCAAGACATAGAACAATACTAGGAAGCCCTCAATACTAATGTAATACTCCTCAGCTTGCCAACAATACTTACAACTTGGAGGCTAGCTAACAATACTTACAACGTGTAGGCTAGCAAGCAATGCTTACATCATGGAGGCTCACTGCCAATACTTTATTATTTCTCTGGTAGATTACTTAAGGGTCATGCAGACTTCTTAGGCTAAACCTACCAATCTCTTTATGTTCAACTAATAGATTGTGTATTAATTTACCCAGACATTTTTTTGTCTTGTTTCCACTTCTATGCATTGTGTGAATAAATCTGAATCTGAATATAGTTCTTTTTTAGCCTTTCCTTACAGTTTCTTAAATCAAATGAATCATTTGGTTGAACATTTGGCTCATTTGAATACAATAAATATGCAAAAAGAAAACCTCAACATTCACTCTATGCTAATTTATCAATGTCGGTGAAAATCCTACAAACCCAGATCAAGAAAGTTGGTATCCCAATTGTTTCAAGGAAATTCCATACGGATATTTAGAGAAATGAACAATGCAATCAGTACTACATTTCGTAATGGATCACGACAAGGCGGACTCTGTATACACAGATTATATGTTATCACATTCTTGCACTCAAATGAAGATCTCAATCCTATCATAAAAGTAACACTGTCTAGCTTTAGTTTAAGGCTTTATTTCAATAATAAAAAAAAAAGAAAAAAAAGATGATATTCATTGATGGTTGATTACCCTTCCTAGTAACTAGACAATATCGTTCCAATTTTGATTTTATAGATTGAGAATTTTACTACCACAAATAGCTAATGTAGATGGACGGAAGAGCGGTCTTAGTACTGCCGTCTACCGTGCCATCTCCTTAACACAATGTGATGTTACGATATATAGATTTATCAGTACCTACAGTACTTCTTATGTACACATCCCCAGTCTAGTATTACAAACACTTTAGATCAAGGTATATTGAATCAATTAGATAAAATAAATACTTCATGAACACCCAAATTCACCCAAGTACCCATAAACATAGGTTCAAAGGTCAAACTTTACAGACTAATAATAAAATTATATAACTATACTCAACTACAGTAGTTATAAGACATACCACTCACCAGCTAAATATACCAAAACTTTTATAAAACTGTTAAACTTACAGACAATTGTAAAATGCTCTTAAAATGCTCTAGAATAACATATCCACCATACTGCTCATGTTCTTAATAATGATGAACAAGGAAGCAAAACCAAAATTCTAACCAGGAAATGCAAAAATGCAAATTTGATCAACAAAATTGAATATCTATAAGAAGTTGTCGATAACAATAATGAACATCATGTTTAGGTGAATGAATGCCATTTGTAATATTTTTTTTTCCTATAAAAGGGAGAAGGAACTAGGTCGAATCGTTACTGTGGCAGTCTGTTACGAAAAGCAACTTAGTTTGCATTGTGGCACACACTATGATTTGTCGGCGTACGACCGTTGGCCGACGGGTGCCCCGTATCAATTTCCAATTTGAGGGGCTGTGCCCGGCAAACGGTGGTTTCTCAGGGCTAGTTTATTCGACAGGATTCCGACTTCCTTGCATTCTATCTTTCATAAATTAACAGAGCCTTTGTCACTATAACTGTTTAGAATTATTTTGAAAGCTATGAATTAAAAAAAATTCAGACATTAACAAAACAAATCAGAGACAGCAATTAGTGGAAACCGTATACATAAAGGCTACAGCTATAAAACAAAAATCAAGGAATCATGTAAGCCTACCGTATTTCAAACTTTCTACAGTACAAAGACACACCTGAAATCCACCAGAGAAACTCCTGAATGTGAAAGATCTGTAAGCAGACGTTCAACACTTACTCCCAACTAGTATCCTATGGTTTAGTATTAGGAGCCGAGATTACTGGATTTGCCAGCTCAGCAGGCAATCTGCAGCTACACCCCCTAAACCCAGCGATAACATTGCTCTACATAACCCATGAACTTTATCACAGGCTTTATTATGCAAAGGTTCCACAGTTGATAATCCTATCACAATTACCTTTTAACCAAATATAAAAAAAATATGACAATACAGTAATTATAGAAAAGGTAACTACTTTACCCGGAGCTAAACATTTTTTTAAGATTGTACAAAACCTCTTGCCATTTTGCTCCTCAGAATACATTAATTTAATAATTTAACTTTTTATTTATAAATTTGGTTATTTTTGCACAAAGAAATTGAGTCAGCTTTGCTGTAACAATGTCCTCATGAAATATTGTTGAAAAAGTAAATAAATAAAAATAGAAGAATTTGAATCTACTTTTGTTATCATTTTGTTGGTAGGATTTTTAGAGACTTGCTTTATTTATTGTCTAAAACTCTGTAACTTGTGTTGAGAGAAATTTAATTATCAATTCTGAACATTGAAAAATCTTGATATTCATCAATTAATTGTAAAAAAAAATTGAATTACCTAGTAGAACACAAGCAGTCAATCATTGGTATGTCAATAAACTTTTAAGTTAGATATTACTTTCTGTATTCAATGTAAAGGTCATAATATTGAAGGCATGAAACTTGATACAGAATAAATATTGTAAAGGAGTATTATCTAAAATTATACAAACCCAATTCAAATAGACAAATGATAAAATTCAAGCAAATAATAGTAAGGGTCAGAAACAATTAACAAATATTTCTTTCTTATTTATTTTTCATTGTTGCTATGTTGTAGGTTGTAACATTTTTAAGTCTTATTTTAATGGCTTTCAGTCTGTTTTAAATGTTTTTAATAATGTGGTGTTTTTTTTGTCTTAAGTTTTATATATTATAATAATAGTAATGAAGAGTCTTAAATATGTTTATCTCAAATTATTAAAATGTTATGATGTCTTACCAAGGAAAGCAATTTTCATAAAAGGTAGTTTTCATGACAAATAAAGAACTTTATCAGTATTTCTAATGCACTAGTATCTGTCGAAGATGTTCATGGCCCATTGACACGTCTCAACGTCAAAACTTTTTAATTTTTGTATATAATTATTGATGTCGACTTTGATAATTATGGAAAAGCTATTGAGTGAAACATCTCAAAGCATGCTTGACTAATTAACTGTATATTAAAATGCTTTACCATAGAAATCATTTTGCCAGGAATCTGCCTTGATATTAAACATAATAATAATATCATAATACTATAGGAATAGAAAACTATCTCCTGTCTATCCTATGACACACCCTCCCAGTGTTTTTGATTCAAGGTTTTGGAACTTGAATTTATTAATGTTAGAACATGCATGCATACATACATACCGACTATATTTTAAAGCCAGGCTACAGGGGGAAACATCTTTTGATTGGATGTATTGTACAAAAAAATTACTCTAAGACATTGAAGGGGTGTATTATTTTTGTTTTTTTGCTCCTTTAAAGCCTGGTATTAAAGATGAAGTACAGTAGTTGTCAGTATTTCACTAACTAATCATTCGAGAAAAACAGTTATGAAAAACCCCAATCTTAAAACTGTCAACTTTCAGCGGAGAATGCTAGATTACTCACCTGTGTCTTGCCTGCTTTAGGCCAATATTTGAAGGCAAAATGTCAGTTTTACTACTCACAAAGCCTGGCTCCAAATCAACAGCAGGTAAAGATCTCCAAAATGCAGTCCGTGATTTTAAAAAACCACCATGTGGTGAGAACAAAAACCAGCCAACAAAGACAAAGTATTACAACCAGCAAGTTCACATCATTTACATATTGAGTGGTTCTTTTGATGGTACGGTAGAAACCTACCCACAAATAATGCCACATCAGAAACAAGCTGGGTATACTAGTACAGTATGTAATGTTAGTGGGACAGATGTTGATGAAGTTAATGAAACAATCCATTTTTCTAAACAATGGTTCAGTTATTATTCAAAATTGTTTGTTAAATTTCATGATTAAAATTCCTTATTCTATCACATATAATGTTCAAAACCACCAAAGTAAGAAACCAACAATTTATGCAACAAATTTAGGCTGTTGTCCCATGGACTGTCTACATACTAGTAGGGTATGATCGAATTACCATATTTATAAACACCCCCTCTACATCCTAATTTGGAAATGCCTCCCTCAAATAAAAGACCCACCCTAAACAAATCTAATGAAAGCAGCATCATTTTCAATACATTCTATTAATGTTCTACACCAGTAGAATTTCATGTTTTTCTAACATGATTGGGTCAAAAAGTCTTACTGATCAGGCAATAACACATTTTCACTGTAATTGTAATTGTGTTGTAGTGTTAAAGGGCACTGATTTGACACCAAAATAAATGCCTCCTTCAAATAAACACCACTCAAAACGCTAATCAAAAATAAACGCCTGGGGGCATTTATTCAAATAAATACTGTAAATTATAATAATCACCTTAGACATTCTATACTGGGTAGTTTCCTAAGGAATGTGTGCTTACAATAAAAATTTATGAGCTAAAAATGAATTACATTCAGGTTAGTGTTTGGATGGGAGACCGTCCTCGAACTGATCGGGTGCTTTAGAGCATTGGCACCAGCTTGAATCTTACTCCTCATTCTGGGTATCAGTTACTGGACCCAACTCTTTTCGGAAAAGTGATTCTCAACCGTAGGCCCAATGTTCACAATTGGCTCATGTGGAATTTAAACAACACAGTAAAACCTGACTAACAACTACATGTCTACTCACCAATGCTTACCATTCCACTATATTGACTGATAGATAACACCTAAAACTTTGTTCACTCTCCTTGGTCAGGTTGTGCCATGGAATGCAAATGCACTGATCGAAAATGTAAACACAAAACTTGACCAAGAGCATATTTGTCCTTTTTATTTTCAACACTTAATCTCGTTTTCAATAGTTTATCACCAAGGTCTTGTGGAAGACAAATACTGATTAAGCAGATTAGTTAAATAGCTTCACAGATTCCTTTCATTGTTCTTAATTGGTCGTTT